CCAGGGAACTGTGCAGCCAACCAGAACAGAACATGTGTTTTCACAGAATTACCCGGTAAAAATAAAAGAGAAAAAAAGGTTCAATATATTACATTTTTATTCTTGGGTTTGGTTATCCTTTGAAAAGTACTAAAGCCAAAAGACAGGCAGCTAGCATTTTCAAAGGAAGGTCACCAAAAACAAGTTGCATGTTATGCCCAGTATGTTTCCTTTAAACCTGTTATGAAAAAAAGTATAATCACTTGAGCTCTGGAAGGTTTTACCCCTTTCATGACTACGGCATTTTTTGCTATTCAGCACTGCACTACTGGCAATTATGCAGTCATGCAACACTGTATGCAAACTAAATTTATATAATTTTTTCACCCAAGTCGAGCTTTCTCTTGTTGGTATTTGATCGCCACTGAGTTTTTTGTTCTATAAATGAAAAAAAGACTGAAAATTGTGAAAAAGATATTTTCTACTGTGATAAAACAATTCCAATAAAAAAAACCTCAACATTTCTTCATAAATGTAGGCCAAAATGTATTCTGCTGCATGTCTTTAGTATAAATAAAATCCCAACAAGTGTATATTAATTAGTTTGTGTGTAAGTCTACAAACTACGGTATATATACTGGAATTTATGCAGCTGGGACGCTATACTGGCATTGGCGGTGATCAGCAACTTATAGTGTGACTGTGATACGACAATTTCGTGCTAGCTGACACTGGCTGGTATGTATACTGACTGACAGTAATGGGAAAAGGTTCACATCTAGGGGCAAGGGTTAATTGTGTGCCTAACAATGTGTAATGTGCTGTTTTTACTAAAAGATGTGGCTGTGTTTTCTCCCTGTAAAGCAGAGAGAAGAAACTGCCACGTTGCTGCTTTGTGTAAAGAGCCCTATGTTGTTTGTAAACACAGGGCTCTGTGCTGTAATTGGACACAACTGATCAGGAAGTCCCAACCATAAATCATTGGATGGGACCTGCTGACAAAATTGTGCAGTGCCCAACCACATCGTGGGTCAACGCCCTAGACCCGGAAGCAGGTTTGCAACATTTATTGATGTGTCGTCCTTCCATGTGCTCCTTGCTGTGAAGGCCAGTTATAGATTGGGGCAGCGGCCATTTTTTGTACTGTTGACTTGGTGAGGGGGTGCAATGGACACCTTGGCTGCCATTGTGCTCTATGCTGGGTGTCCAGTGCACTCCTGTACCTTTAAGGAGGGGTGGGTTCTCCTGCCCTCAGTCTATCTATTAAATACATGTGCCTCTACTATGGGGGCTCTCAACATTTGTAGAGTTAGGAATTGCAGAATATCGGGGTGCTGTAGAGAAGATCTGCAGCTTACCCATGTGTTTGCAAATATGTGCTAACTAAACCTGTTTTTTAAACGCATACTGTTAGACAGGCTAATTCGGTTTGTTTGCAAGCTGGTTGGTAAGTAGAGCTGGGAATTTTTCTCTTTTATTGTTTGACATGAGTCACCCTTCCATGTGCTCCTTGCTATGAAGGCCAGTTATAGACTGGGGCAGTGGCCATTTTTTGTACTGCAGCTGCCACCCTGTGCAGCCGGCATGCAGAGCCCTCTCTGTTGGCACGTGAGCCAAGTCGCCCCAGCAGTTGAGCAGCGGATAACAGCACACATTGTGGCCATGCGTATGCTCGAAAAGGAGTAGCGGCACCAGACAATGATGTCGAGTCGTGACTCGTTCGAGCTTTCACATAGCCAGTCAGTGCGTTGCCAAGGATTCACATTTATTGGACTGGCTGTGAGTTATAACACATTTGTTTTTAACACAAGATTTTAGCTTGTGGTGGTGGTCAGTGGAACTTTGCCCCCTTGTGTTGGTGATCAGTGGAACTTTGCCCCCTTGTGCTGGTGGTCAGTGGAAGCTGTTATTGTGTTTTTCTTTTAGCACAAAAGATGGTAATGTATGGGTTGTTTTTTTCTAAAACTCAGTATTCAGGCTTAATTGCAATGTTGGTGATAAACAAGTGGGTTTTGGGTTGCAGTTTGGGCACTCGGTCTCTAAAAGGTTCGCCATCACTGGGTTAAGCAATACAATTAAATAACAGATGGGCCACAAGGAACCAAAATAATTCAACCACTGTGGTTTGTACAAATATTTGCTAGTACAATTTGTTTTCTTTTGGTCCACATACTGTATCTTATTTTTAAAAGTGGTGGTCACAATACAATCTGCTGTACATGGGTGTTGCTAGACCCAAACATTGCTGTCCTGAGTAATCTCAGATGTTCTTCTGGCTAAAAAGCAAGTAATGTAGACGAGATCCCTATACTTGGCTTATAAACGAATTCTGAAGAATTGGACCTCGTCTGCTCCTCCAACATACATACAATGGAGTGCTGAGCTTAATTCTAATCTACGGAGGGAGGAGTTAACTTATAAACATAGGGTTTGCCCTAAAAAAAAAAAAAAAAATTCAAAAACATGGTCCCTGTGGCTGGACTCTAGTGAATCAACACATTTTTCACTGTTCTTAACCACTTGCCCTCCCGAGGATTTACCCCCCCTTAATGACCAGGCCTCTTTTTGCTACTCGGCGCGCACTAATTCAACTGATAATTGCGCGGTCATGCAATACTGCACCCAAACTAAATTTACGTCCTTTTTTCACACAAATAGAGCTTTCTTTCGGTGGTATTTGATCACTTGTGCACTTTTTATTTTTCACGCTATAAACAAAAAAAGACCAAAAATTTTTAACAAAAACGATATTTTTTACTTTCAGCTATAAAAAATATGTAGTAAACAAAGTTAGTTATAAATTTAGGCCAAAATAAATTCTGCTACATGTTTTTGGCAAAAAAAAAATCCCAATAGGTGCATATTGATTGCTTTGTGTGAAAGTTATAGAGTCTACAAACTATGGCATAAATACTGCAATTTACGCAATGTTTTTGCTATACAGCACTGCGCTAGTTTAACGGACAATTGCGCGGGTCATGCAATACAGTACATAAATGAAATTTACATCCTTTCTTCCCCACAAATTGAGCTTTCTTTCAGTGGTATTTGATCGCCTGTGCGGTTTTTATTTTTTGCGCTATAAAAAAAAAGGCTGACAATTTTGAGAAAAAAAACGATATTTTGGACTTTTTGCTATAAAACATGTCCAGTAAGAAAAAAATGTAAAAATCAAATTTAGTCATAAATTTCTGCCAAAATGTATTCTGTGACATGTCTTTGCTTAAAATAAATCCCAATACGTGTAAATTAATTGTTTTACGTGAAAGTTATAGCGTCTACAAATGGCAGGGAAGATACTGGGATTTTTTTTTTATTATACCAATAATGGCGGCGATCAGCGACTTATGACAGTGATCAGCGACTTATGGCGGGACTGCGGCGGACATTTTGACACTGGGGGGGGAACTGACTTGGGGTCACTGACATCCCCAGTGACACCAATACAGTGATCAGTGCAAAAAAAAAAAAAAAAACACTTGACACTGTACTAATGGCACTGGGGAGGAAGGGGTTAACTTTTTTATTAAATGAAAGGGTTAACTGTTTGAGGGAAGTGTTTTACTAGTGGGTGGGGGGGGGGGGGGTGTGTACTGCACAGGAACACGCCGATCCTGAGAGATAAAGTCTTCTCTCAGGTTTAGCGTGCTCTGAACTGACAGATAGCTGAGCTGCAGTGTAAACACTGCAGCCGTGCTATCTGTCAGTGATTACCAGTAATCGCCAGCACCCAGCGGCTAATGACCCGCTGAGATCCAGTGATGGACTCCCGCTGTCGCGATCTGCGGGACAGGTAGGGCGGGCACGCACCTTGCGCGCGCCCCCTACCTGTTTTGCAGAGCGTCATTAAAAGCCGGCGCTGTGCTCACAGGTGCCGCCCTGCAGCAGTAAAAACACTGCGGCGGGTCGGCAGGCGGTTAAGAGCTGATATGGGGAGCTAGGTGGTTGCTCTGCCAATGAGAAAGTTTTATGACCTTTTATCTGCTAAAGATACACTATACGAACCTCTAAAGTGGAATATTAATGGGTACTTGAGTGTAACTTTTCGCTAAGAGAATTGTTACGATTTCAAAGTTTCTTATGCCTGTGGTGGGCACAATCTTTGTGTCGTCTGTTTTCTTTGTACACTATGTTTCTACATTTTGAGAAGCTTGGCTTTGTTCTTGTTATAAGAAAATCTAATAAAAGTTACTTTATTACTATACACAGGCTCAAGGTTGGAGGAGAGACCACTATGTAACTTTTGTACCTCTGTTGAGAGTACATTTCCCTGCATTTCTCATTCTTACACAGTATGTACTGCTCTGAGAGCAATGTATTAAGGAGGAGAGGAAGGATGCACTACAAAGGAGAGTGGGCAAAAACTATAAAAGGCATGTAACTGTGACAGCCAAGCTGCAAAAAAAAGATGCTTGTGGTACTGAGCGTCATTCATGCAGCAGTAAAAGTTTGTGCCAGCCTATTAAGACTACGAATAGCTCAGGACTCTGTTCTGGGGAAAGGAATAGCTTTTAAGGCAGAGATGACATTGAAGAGAAGACAACATGTCCTTCGCATTCACAGGTATGAACAAAAGAATAAACTGGAGAATTTCTTCAAATTTTCCATAAAGTTTCTTCTGGGTTCCAGCATGCATTTTGCACCAATTTTGTCTCCAGGTCAGACAATTAGCTTGGTTATCCTTGTCCAATCATACGGACAGGTAAGGATCTCTAGTTGCTGTTCAAGGTCCACCTTCAGACTGTTCCTGTAAACCACATACTTAAACAGCTCATGTATTTTGCCCCAATCCACTATGGAAGCACACAGAATTACATCAAATTACCAAAACAAAACGTTTTATTCTAAATGAAATAAGGATATAATGCATTGGAAAAATTACAAAAATATTTTGCTGTTGGTAACCCTTGGTTATTTTCTTGCCTCTTGCACACAATTTCTACATCTTTTTACAGTGTGGACATTGCATTCCTTCCAATCATTACTGCTATAACACTGCAAAGTGTTGACGATATGCACCTTCAGCTCATCAAGTATCCTCTGTGAGAAAGAAAGAAAAAAAAAAAAAAACAAAACTACTTAAATATTTTATTGTTAAGAGTTTGTATACGTAAAACTAAGAGTTAGCAAGCAAAACCCACTGCATACTTGGAATATGCTTCTATGATCAACATCACATTTAGCCCTTTCGCTGCCAGAGCCGTTTTAGCATTTTTTTGCACGTTAAAAAAAAATGATTTTAGATCTGAAGATCTCAAAACCCCCACACATTATACATCGGGTAAAATAAGCATTGAACACTTTACCATTTTTCTAGGTAAATATATTTCTGAAGGTGCTGTTGACATGCAATTTTTTACATGTCGGTAATAATCCATACATACAAAGAAACCAAAACAAATAAGTTCAGAAATTAAGTTATGTGTAATAAAATAGAACAAGACAGGGAAAAAATGTTGAAACATGTAAACATAGATACAGCTTTGTTCTTCCTCCCTGCCCGACGAGCTGCGTGTGCCGGCGAAGATCCGTTCAACTGAACTGGCAGATCGGGTTCTGCTGTGACAGTTGACAGCAGAAACAATCTGCCATCCGTGCGCCCGCGCCCCCCGTGAGATGGAAGTGCAAAATCACGTGTATACGTGCTTTTGCACCGGAGAGCCACCCTGTAGCAGTAAAGCTACAACTGGCTGGGTGGTTAAAGTTTTCTGCACAACAGTTAGACAAGCCTATTAAATATTGGGAGAATATAGTCTGGTCAGAGGAGACCAAAATTGAACTCTTTGGATACTATAATACACACCATTTTTGGAGGTCAAATGGCACTGCACATCACCAAAAACACCAAACACCATACCAACAGCGAAGTTTGGAGGTGGCAACATCATGGTGTGGGGCTGTTTTTCAGCATATGGTACTAGCAAACTTCATATCATTGAAAGAAGGTGAATGGAAAAATCTCCCAAGACATTTTTTGTAAAAATCTGCTGCCATCTACCAGGGTGATGAAGATGAAAAGAGGGTGGACATTTCAGCAAGACAATGATCCCAAACATAAAGTCAAGGAAACTCTCAATTGGTTTCAAAGAAAATAAAGCTGCTTAAATGGCCAAGCCAATCACCTGATTAAAATTCAATACAAAATCTATGGAAAGAACTAAAGATCCGAGTTCATAGAAGAGGCCCACGGAACCTTCAAGATTTGAAGACTGTATGGAAGAACGGACCAAAATCACACCTGAGCAATGCATGCGACTAGTTTTTCCACACAGAAGACATTTTGAAGCTGAAGAAAGGATTTTGTAAGAAGTACTAAATAAATTTCAGTTAGCGCGTTCAATACGTTTTCCCTGTCATTCCATTTTGTTACACATAACTTAATTTCTGAACTTATTTGTTTTGGTTTCTTTGTATGTATGGATTTGCATGGGTTGTTACAGACATGTGGTGAAAATTTCATGTCAATAGCACCTTTAGAAATATATTTACTGAGAAAAATGGTGACGTGTTCAATACTTATTTTACCCGCTGTATATTTTCTGAAAGTAGACACCCTAGAGAATAAACTAGTGGTAGTTAAAATGTTTTTATTTCACACAATATTACTGTAAATGTCTAGGAAATGCAGAATTCAGAGAAAACACACTGAAGTGAATTTTAGGGCAAGGAAACGCAATAAATTACCCAATTTTTGATAAAGTATAAAGATGAAGTTGCGCAGAGTAAATAGATACCCAACATGCCAAACCTAAATTTGTGTGCGCCTCAAAAGCCCCTACTGGTCATCAGTTTAGTGTTCTGGAGGAGGTCTTGTGCTAGAATTATTGCTGTCACTCTGGCATGCATGGCGATATGCAACGTGTATTGCAATCAACGGTTTCATGTGTAGGAGACCCTGACGCATTTGTTTACGTTCGTACGTGTGTATATGTGGAGGTGGAGGAACCTCAAAATTGTTTTTGAGGGGGGATGTTATGTACTTGGGTGTAACTATTTTTTTGCAGTAAAAAAAAAATAATTTTTTTTCTACTTGACCTTTTTATGTGTGTCCCCTATGTGATGCTCTAAAAGTAAGGATGCAACAATGCCCTTTTTTAATCAGCGAGTATGTGTACTGATACTTTGCGGTGCAATTTACGTCAAAACCAAATGTATGGACGCAAATTGCACCGCAAAGAATGGTATGTGAATTGAACAGGAATGCGGTACAATTCCTGTCCAACTCGCATGCAGTTTTCCCCACTGCTCCTGTGTGAAGCCAAGCTTGTCATAGCCTGAGTTCACACAGGAGCGGGGCAGGGCCAAACACATGATGCTATTATGCACCCTGGCAGAATCTGGTGATGTTCATCGTTTATTATATGCTTGTGATTGTCTTCTTATTGTAAGTACATTACCATATTAAAAGCCCTTGGTTTTAACATACTGCACTATGGTGGTCCCTGGTGCGTGTCTGAATATTTTGTGCTGTGGAACAGCAAGGCTCTTCATGATCTCTATGTGGGATCAGTGTTTCTACTAAGGAGTTCACCTTACATGTGGGTGGTGTGATTTCCTGGCACCCTCTATTCCTGCAGCACAGAATGCTCCCCTTCTTACACTTTGAAGTGCGTCTTCTTTTTCCATCTTGATTTTGGACTGTTCAACAGGAAATTTATTCATCTGTTCAGACATTTTGCACATTTGGTTGCTTTATTAATCTTCAATTTTGTTTGCAGTATTGAAAATATCTTTTTATTATGCTTGTTCACTCAATTTTTGCCCATATGTACTCATATACACTTTTTGAATGTTTTTTCTATTTTGAGAGTGGAGTACTGGGTTATATCACATACACCTTTTAAGTTTGCGTGTTTGTGACATATTTAGGCATCCAGCTTATTATTGTCTATACACACATTTGTCCATCTGTACAGATATACACTCTTCTAAGTTTATTTTTTCCAAAGTGTGGTATGGTGTTTTGGCACAACCTTATTTGTGATTTTATCTTTATATTTATTTAGGTTATTTCATATATTGAGCTCACATTAGCAATTTTCTCTATAATAATATGTTTGATAGTTATATTTTATGCACAATTGCAATTTAGAAATTTTAAGATACAGCGCACCCATTTTATGACGTAGTTGTTTTACATCTAATATCTAGATTGTGTAGTGGATGCAGCAGTCTTTATTTTCTGTTTTTGCTAGCACAAGGAAATCATTTGGTTTGTTTTTAAACTATTTTAACAATGGGTATGAAATGACAGAAAAGAGCAGACAGACTAAAAGAGGACATTTATCTTATGGTAACATAATGAACGTAGCTGAAAACTTACGGCAACTTCATCCTCATGAAGACTCTTGCCATAAAGAAGCTGAGCAGAACACAAACAAATCCAATAAAAAGCAGCAAGAATCTGTTCAGCTTTGGAATATTTGGTGCATTGGATCGATCCAGAATAATGAATCCTAAACCTCCCATGGTAAAAAGGAAGCTCGATGCCAGTCCTTCCATGATGTACTGACCATTCACTCTGTGGAGACATCACATCAATACATTTATACACAATCCTCCTAAACCATTAAAGTGCAATATATTCTACCACTTGTACACAAACATACCTTACAGGAACCACTTGAAAAAAATGCTACATAAATCACAGTGATGTAAAATTATAAAAATATGAGGCATCTCTAACAAGCATTAACAATTTTAATCTTATAAAGTGCAAAAATAGCTAGGGGTTGGCAAGCTGCTATGGGTAAACACACTTTACTTTCCAACATTTGGCATTAATGCAGCTCCGTGTTGTTAAAACAGGCCATAAAGATAACCTATTTATCCAAAGGATAAAGAAACAGCTTCCATTTGTCAAAGGCACTATTAAGTAGTCAATGCTATTCTGCACTGTACAGTTACCCCCTAAAAATACACAGTACATCGAGGTATAGAGGAATATGTGCCACTTGTGGCCCCATGATACAAAACTCTGTACCTCAGCAGCCAATCAACAGGCTCAAGCTCTGTTACATGCATAGACCTGTGTATGTTGTAACTTGAACAGAAATTGAAAACTTAGAGAAATTCTGGCTAGTGTTGGGATACAAAAAGAGTTAGCACGGATTGCTTTAAGTGGATTTCACCCGCTTTTTCTGCTTTTAATATAATTGCTCCTTTTCAAATCACAATATCATATATTTTTTCTAATTAGCCAGGGTGAGAATAAAGTAGCCCCAGCTGCATGCAGCCTCCTGGGATACTCACTTTATGCATCCCAGGAGGTTTTTGGGCAATCTACTGCAGATATGCATGCACCGCATCATCAGGTGTCGGCTAAAATTAAAGCGACAGCCTGATCCTGATTAAATGTGGCGATTAAAGCAGGACAATGCTGGAAGACAAGTATATATGTTTTGGTTTTTTTTTCAGAATGACCCAGCAAAAAGTAGCAGAAAAAAACAAAAAAAAAAAAAAAAAAAAAAAAAAAAACAACACACACAGTGGGGGTGAAGTGAACCTATTACTTTGGCCATGTACTAATAACAGGTTAACTTTACGTTGTTGAAGTGGTTAGACAGAGCATGTCATTTTTGATCAATGTACCAAGCAACTGGATTCTGTGATGGACAGTAAAATATGTTTATAATGGGCACTATACCTATATGTTTGAATCTTCATAAACTATACCTGATGTTCAAAATTCATTCAGGTCATTCAGACCAGTTAGAGTTGGCCACTGTGGCAGATGGTCAAAATGCGACATCCACTCCAAATTTAGTTTGGGGACCCATATCAGCACAGCAAGCACCACACCATCAGTTGATGGAGACAATATTTACTTAGAGTTGACAGGATTGTCTAGCTAGTTACCAGTAGAAATTTGATAAACAGTGTCTACAATATTCTTTCCACTTTGTGTAGATGGAAGTACAAAGACATCCTGGAAACTAAAATCTTGTTTAGTTTGCATTATTTTCCATATTTACAATTAAGCACCCAATTTTTTTGTTTCATTATACATACGAATGAAAAAAAATTCTCTCAAAGTTCAAATAATCAAAAAAAAAAAAAAAATGTCTTCATTACAACCAGAAATCACCCATGTGAGTGGCCACCACTGTGTAGGGCAAATTGGAGGCTTACCAAATCACCAGACCCCTATTACAGGAGGTCGGATTAGGCTCAATGTGAATAAGGCTCTGTCAGGCAGATGGATTATACTGAGACCCACCGCCCCGCTCCAACCATTCCGGGTTAAAGATCAGTATTGGCTCATAAAAGATAATAAAGAGGTGCCTCTCAGTGTATTATCTCCAGTAATTTTACTAGAACAAGACAAGATTGCACTTACAACAGCTCTAAAGTGACAGGCATCAATCGCTATGTTTGGGTGTTCCCAAGATGGCGGACAACACAATGACGTCAGAACATAATCTTGTCTTGTTCTAAAAAATTACGGTGGGTCTCAGTATAATCCATCTGCCTGACGGAGCCTTATTCACATTGAGCCTAACCCGACCTCCTGTAATAAGGGGTCTGGTAAGCCTCCAATTTGCACTACACGGTGGTGGCCACTCACATGGGTGATTTCTGGTTGGTTATTTACACTTTGAGAGAATCTTTTCATTCACAGAGACTGTTTTGCAATTATCTTTCACATTTGAGAACTTTGAGCACTTCAGGGTCCCGTATGGACTGTCATTATCTATTTATTTAGTACATTTTATGGTGCTTTCTTTATATTGTTTGGTTTATGTTGTTCACCCTTAGCACAATACCTTTTATATATTTACACATTGTGTAGGAGGGGGATATCCCTTTTGGTGAGTTTTGCTGCTTTGTGGGGTTGTGGATGTGTGACATTTGTTCAGGTTTTACTTTTATTCTTAATTTTCATTATACGTATAACAACATTTTAAACACATGTGAGAAATGAATTTGGCAACTAAGTGAAAACTGCATATCTTGTATGCGTCCTTGCTTGGGCAGTCTGGAAAAAAAACTAAAACTTTTTTGGCACTAGAGGCTTTAGCAACAAAGGCATTTTTTTTGCCCCTGTATTGCGGAGGATTCACTTTCAGCCCCTCAAGAGAAGTCAGCTGCTCATTTATCCCAGTGCAAAGTCCCTATACTATCTCTAAAAGTGCCTTCTAGTGGAGGCCAGGAACAATGTCCTCTAAAGTAAAGAAGGCTGGAAAAAGATTGCAGGCCACTAAGTGTCTAATGTCATATCCTGTTTTTCTGCAGCTGTAATGGCAAGGACACTTAGGATGTGTACTGTAAGAAACACAGTGCCTTGAAAAAGTATTCATACCCCTTGAAATTTTCCGCATTTTGTCATGTTACAACCTAAAACGTAAATGTATTTTATTGGGATTTTTATGTGAAAGACCAACACAAAGTGGCACATAACTGAAGTGGAAGGAAAATGATATATGGTTTTCAAAATATTTTCCAAATAAATATCTGAAAAGTGTGGTGTGCATTTGTATTCAACCGCCTTTACTCTGATATCAATAACTAAAATCTAGTGGAACCAATTGCCTTCAGAAGTCACCTAATTAGTAAACAGAGTCCACCTGTGTGTAATGTAATCTCAGTATAAATACAGCTGTTCTGTGAAGCCCTCATAGGTTTGTTAGAGAACATTAGTGAACAAACAGCATCATGAAGGCCAAGGAAAACACCAGGCAGGTCAGGGATGAAGTTGTGGAGAAGTTTAAAGCAAGGTTAAGTTATAAAAAAAATATCCCAAGTTTTGAACATTTCACAGAGCACTGTTCAATCCATCATCCGAAAATGGAAAGAGTATGGGACAACTGCAAACCTGCCAAGACATGGTTGTCCACCTGAACTGACAGGCCGGGAAAGGACAGCATTAATCAGAGAAGCAGCCAAAAGGCACATGGTAACTCTGGAGGAGCTGCAGAGATCCACAGCTCAGGTGGGAGAATCTGTCCACAGGACAACTATTAGTTGTGCACTCCACAAATCTGGCCTTTATGGAAGAGTGGCAAGAAGAAAGCAATTGTTGAAAGTAAGCCATAAGAAGTCCTGTTTGCAGGTTGCGAGAAGCCATGTGGGGGACACAGCAAACATGTGGAAGAAGGTGCTCTGGTCAGATGAGACCAAAACTGAACTTTTTGGCCTACAAGCTATGTGTTGCGGAAAACTAACACTGCACATCACCCAGAACACACCATCCACACCATGAAACATGGTGGTGGCAGCATCATGTTGTGGGGATGCTTTTCTTCAGCAGGGACAGGGAAGCTGGTCAGAGTTGATGGGAAGATGGATGGAACCAAATACAGGGCAATCTTAGAAGAAAACCTGTTAAGAGTCTGCAAAAGACTTGAGACTGGGGCAGAGGTTCACCTTCCAGCAGGACAACGACCCTAAACATGCAGCCAGGGCTACAATGGAATGGTTTAGATCAAAGCATATTCATGTGTTAGAATGGCCCAGTCAAAGTCCAGACTTAAATCCAATTGAGAATCTGTGGAAAGACTTGAAAATTGCTGGTCACAGACGCTCTCCATCCAACCTGCCCGAGCTTGAGCTATTTTGCAAAGAAGAATAGGCAAAAATGTCATTCTCCAGATGTGCAAAGCTGGTAGAGACATCCCCAAAAAAGACTTGGAGCTGCAATTGCAGCAAAAGGTTGTTCTACAAACGATTGACTCAGGGGGGGGCCGAAAACAAATGCAGGTCACACTTTTCACATATTTATTTGTAAAACATTTTGAAAAATCCCAATACGTGTAAATGAATTGGTTTACGTGAAAGTTATAGTATTTACAAGTGGCGGTATATATACTGGGATTTTTGTTTTTGCTAGTAATGGCGGCGATTGGTGACTTATAGCGGGACTGCAGTGGGCATTCTGACACTGGGGAGAACTGACATGGTGTCATTGATATCCCCAGTGGCACCAATACAGTGATCAGTGCTAATAAAAAGCACTGACACTGTATTAATGACACTGGGCAGGAAAAGGGTTTACATGTGGGATGTGGGTATTGTTTACTTACGGTTCTCTCCCTCCGTTGGTAATGATTCTCGATTACCGGGTGCTGGCGAGTAATCACCGGCCAGGACCCTGTGATTGACAGCCGAGGCCGCGAATATCGGCTCGTGCACGCCTCCTACCCGGAACTGCAGTCACGTATATATACACATGTGATTTTGCGCACCTGTGCCACCCTGTAGCAGTATTACTGCTATAGGGCAGACGGGAAGTGGTTAACTCTATGTCAATTGACTCTGAGGCATATGTTTTGCCATACGTTGGCCTGATCTACTACTACAGGTCACAAAAACCAAGGTCAATAGATATTTAGGTGGCAGAACCTGGAACACACTTCAGAATGGGAGGCATGAAGAGCAGTGCAATACCCACTCTCTTCCTCCATGGATACCCGACATTATCCTTTAAAGTGGCTGCAAACCTCAGACATGAAATATGCATAAGCATATCCCTCAATGGTGTGCACTTGTCTCAATCCAGAGCACTAAGTGTCATTTCTGTCCACTTATGACGCCAAGAGAAAAATGATGACAGGTGAGGGCACAGTCTGTGATTGACAGCATCAGCTCTGTTCCTGTATGAAAGGGGTGTCCCTTCCCTCCAATCAGTTCTCAGAACTCCTATCTGATGTAACTTCAGCTCTCTGGTCCCTGCTTTTCAGAGCTGAGAGATCCTGTGTAAATTCTATACTTTGAATGAATGTAGAGGACAGATGGCTTTCCATAAATGGGTAGAACTTATGCAGAGGATTTGTTTTCATCTGTGTATCACCTGAGGCCAGTCACTTCACTGGGTATATGTAAGGGTTAGTTACTGCCATTTTAAAAATGATAAGCAGAAACCAAGTTACATAAGTTTACACATCTTTCGTGCTCACCTGTAGGCCAGGAAAGCTACCGGTCTTTGGTGTCCATGTTCATCTGTCATGGATCCGACACTAGGTGGTTCCACAATCACATCATAAATAATCCCTAGAGGCACAGACATGAAAATAGTGAGGTCAATAAGACAAAATGCTGTACAAATAAATAAAAACATTTTCCTAACTGAACACAAAAACATCTTACACAATTAGTATGTGAAAAAAAAGAGATGGACAGAGATTTTATAATGGAAAAGAATAAAAAAATCTTAAAATGCTTGGTCCCATTTGCTCTCATAGTGAAGAAAGCTCCTGACCCCCCAAAGACAATGGGAAAAACTCCCTGGATCAACACTCCACAATGGTATATTTATATTAAAACTAATAGTTTGTGCTTTTACATATATAAGTGTACACTTTTCCAAACAAACTACTTAATATTTTAAAATCAATTTATGTGTAAAACTATTCCACAAGTTCACATCTCTTACTGTCAAAAACACTTTACATATCACAAAGGTTAAGGCTGAACTCCAGTCACACTAACACTTGGCAGAGCTGTGTGCTATGAGTACAGTGATGCCTTTCAACAGAAAACATTTCAAATGTACTTTAAAATAACTAAAGGCAAAACTTTTTTAAGTTTTGGATAGAGTAGAAAGGAATTAGAACACCTGTCAGGTTTTGATTGTTGTCTGTGTACCCCTTTTTATCACCATGAAAGGAGAAGAAATCGCAAATTTGGGGAAGTCACCAGAATCTTCTGATAGGGATACTGGTTCTTTTGACAACCAGGGATTCCCTCACTTTGGAGGGACTGCCTCTCACTTCCTGTTTTGGCTATTTGACAGGAAGTGAAGGGAAATCTCCCCAATGGAACACAGTTGGCAAAAAAAAAAGTTATTAACAAAAAATAAATAAAAAAAAACAAAAAAAAATTAAAAAAAAAATTTAAATTTAATATTAAAAAAAAAAAAAAAAATTTAAATAAAAATAAATAAAATAAAAATTTAAAAAATAAAAAAAAATAAAATAAAAAACAATAAAAAAATAAATTTAAATATATATAATAAAAAAAAAATAAAAATAAATTAAAATTAAAAAAAATAAAATAAAAAATATTGGGGGGGTTATAACCCTTCCCTTACACTATCCAAAATGAAAAAATAGTTAAACAGTTTTGAATTTAGTTCTACTTTAAAAACTTTACTGTCTGCTTCAAAATATCAGTCAAGTGATCTGATCAGACCGCTTTTCTTGTACACTTCAGGGCTGCAGGCCATTTACCATCACAATGTAACAGGCAACATAAATAAATGTCTGTGCATTCCACACCTACCATCAAGGCAGAAAGGAGTGGCAACCTACAATCAATGTCATTCACAAACTTACACAAATACACAACTGTAATGATGCTGCAACCATGGGTGCATCATCAAGGCCACCATAAGCTGCATTTTGTAAAGGTTTAAGCATACATAGGGCTTGAGATATTGGTGTTAATGAGGACTATAAGTAACAAAGCAACAGAAACACCCACCCAGTTGCTTTGAAAGAAAGTCTCTTGGTCATTTTGGATTTTCCCAATAGCTGTGAATCCCTACAGATAACGTGGTGCAGAGGATTTTTCTGTTGAGTTTATTGAATTGCCTGCAATTCAACAACTACCTATAGTGGGGGTGGGGGTGACCAAAAAACAATGCAGCTTCTGTGCTCTCCTGTCACCAAACCAGACATATAGCAACTGCTACACTTTCTGCCATCAGTGAAACAGAAAATAGAAAAAAAATGGTAGCAATCCTGGAGTGATCATTGTTGTCAACAATTTGTTACCCAGCACAATGAAAAAAAAAGCTGGCTGCCATTTTTGACAGCTGTTTCCAAAAATGTTAGCAGTATACTAATCATGCTGATACTTTGGATTCGATGCTTTCTGAGCTATCAACCCAGAGCAATTACAGACTAAGAATTACAACACTTTTCTCACACTCATATGCTGCAAGGGTCCAGATCTGTATAATAGATACAGCCAGGCAATCAGCATTTCCAGAACAAGACCTGTGATGGCAGAATACATATTTCTCACCTGAGAGATGGGCTTGGTTAATTGACGCCCATTCAACCATCATCCAAAGTCTATGGCCTGGTTTGCATGACAAAATTTCCTTCCCTGAACCACTTCCTGTCCGGACACTTTTACCCCCTTCCTGTCCAGGGCAGTTTTCAGCTTTCACCGCAATCACACTTTGAATGACAATTGCGCGGTCATGCAATACTGTACCCATATGAATTTTTTACCATTGTTTTGAGACAGATAAAGCTTTATTTTGGTGGTATTTATTCACCGCTGGGATTTTTATCTTTTTTGCTATGTAAATGAAAACGTCCAAAAATTTTGAAAAAAAGTGTTTTTCTTACAAAATTTTGCAAATAAATAATCTCTCATCATAAATCTTGGCCGAAATGTATTCCGTTATCTTTATAGTAAAAAAAAAAATAAGCCAAATTAGTTTATAACCAAAAATTATAATTTTTAAAAAATGTTTTACATTTTTATATTATTAATGTTTTTTTTTTTTACATACTGTCACCCTAGCAGTACAGTGTCACCATGGTGACACTGTACTACTTGTGGGTGGTGATGATTTTTTTTTTTTTTTTTTTTTTAGCAGTGATTGCTTTTACACCCATATAGGATGTAAAAGCAATCATTTCTCTTTCTCTCTGTCTGCATTCTTGCAGCCATTGAGAACTACTGAGTGAGCTGTGATTGGTCACAGCTTGTCACATGGTACAAGGCTGTTGTGAATAGCCTTGTACCATGTGACCTCTGTGATCATTCACAGATTTCACACCTAGTAAGCAATGATGTCACAAATAACATCTTGCTTACTACTTTGCATGTGATCACTGATTGGCCAATCAGCGATCACATGATCGGGACCTCGTACAGAGGTCCCGTCCGACGATCGGTGTTTCACTGTGTCCGGAGGACACAGCGGGTATCGGATCGCGGTGCTGCGCGCTCCCAGGGAGCGCGCACAGCTAGAAATGGCGTGCCACCGTCCTGCCATTATAAATAGCAGGTGGACAGCAAATGGTTAAGTCACGCATGTTGTTAAAAAAGCTAACACCTCTAACACAAATCAGTGGACATGATCAATGCACATATTTTACCTGTGCAATTATGTATGTCTGAAAAAAATGTTCGATAAACCAAAACATGTACATTCATTAGATTTAGAAAAAGTTGGTGAAGTACAATCACTACATAAGACTTAAGGAGAAAGTGAACTTGAGGCAGATATATTGCAAAAACAAACAATTCTTTAAAAAAGTTTGTGTATGTATATTTTTAAACACAAGCATTTGAATGTGACTTGGTGTCAGTTTCCTGCAATCTCCTGTACAGTGTAACCTGATTGGGAAAGGGAGAGAATAGGAGGCAATCAAATGTGCTGGATGCAAATGAGCTGAAGGAATATGTTGGTAAAAAGGCAGGGGGATGACTTCATCATTGCATTGCTTTGCCTTTTTTTTTTTTTTTTATTACAGGTACGTAAATAGCGCCATCAATTTACACCGCGCTTTACATATACTGTACTGTATAAAGGACAGTGCATACGATTGTGACCTGAAATAAAAAAATAACTGCTGCAAAAGTGAAGACTGAGATTGAGCTCCAGTCACTTTTACAGTTTTCTTAGTTCAGGTCATATCCTGCGCAATACCATTTTGTCTCTTTCGGTCAGTTGATCAGGTTGACCGCGCTTATGCTTATCAGACGTTTTCCAGGAAACTGTATAAGCTGTGATAACTGATACTGTACCTCACTGCAAATAAATTGCCAACAGCGTACCATTTTGTGTAGTGCAAGGTGATTTGATTGGCATTCAGAGTGCTTTAAAAAAAAAAAAAAAAAGTGTGTCCAATGCCACATTTTGAAACAAGTGTAAAAGAGCCCTTACATGGCTGGGACAAACCACTGAACATTGACAGGGGTTCTTAAAATGATCAGCTTTTATGTAAAATCTTCATCCCAATAGAAAAAATAAATTTACTGTAACTTTTAAAGTGTAAGTTGCAGTTTGTCTTCCATTTGTTACTGTATTCAAATCTGCCTATACGTTAAGCCCCCCCCCTATCCAGACTGACAATGCTGCTGTCTGCTGTGCCCCCCTGTGCTCCTTTATCCAGAGTTGCGTCTTACTAATACAGGATGTGTTACTGGCCAAATCACCAGGTGAAAACAGGAAAAAAAGAAAACTAATGCAGTCACCACATCTAATTGGTAAGCTGCAATATATTACATTTTTGGTTTTAATACTGCTTCAAGGTGCAGTCACCCTTTTAAAGCAAGAGCTGTGAACACAGCACATATTGCTGTGATTAACCAATCCTTGTCATTGTCACCCCCTATTTTTTGTTACTTTGCAGCACCTGGAAGACAAGAAGCAGATATATATATACATTCACCAGCCACTTTATTAGTTTCACCTGGGCAATTGTTTGGTAACAAATTGCTAATCAGCCAATCATATGGCAGCAACTCAATGCATTTAGATGAGAACAAGGGATGTCTGATCTGCTGCACTGGGGGACTGGCAGGTAAATGCGTTTCAAGCTACGGGTAATGAATAAGCACAGTCTTCAGCGTGAAACACATTTACCTGCCAGTCCCCCACTGTATTACCACTGTCTGTATTGGTTTTATCTTTGTTCAATAAAGTGGGTTGTTTGACAGCCTTTGTTCTCATATATGCAGCACACGAGCTGGACTAGCACCTACGGGAGGAGTTGTGCTTGGAGATTGGGAGTCTCTCTACATTGAGCAGCGGTATACATATATGTGCCAATGCATTTAGACATCTAGATGTGGTGAAGACTACTTGCTAAAGTTCAAACTGAGTCTCAGAATAGGGAAGAAGGGATTTAAGTGATTTTGAACGTAGTATGGTTGTTGGTGCCAGACAGGCTGATCTGAGTATTCAAAAACTGCTGATCTACTGGGATTTTCAGACACAACCATCTCTAGGGAAATCAAGACTCATCAGACCAGTCAACGTTTTCCAATCTTTCCAATCTTCTATTGTCCAATTATGGTGAGCCTATGTGAAATGTAGCCTCCGTTTCCTGTTCTTAGCTGACGGGAGTGGCACCCAGTGTTTTATTCTGCTGCTGTAGCCCATCTGCTTCAATATTTGTCGTGTTGTGCATTCAGAGATGGTATGCATACCTTGGTTGTAACAAGTGGTTATTTGAGTTACTGTTGCCTATCACCTTGAACCAGTCTGCCCATTCATCTCTGACATCAATAATACATTTTCGTCCACACAACTGCCAATCACTGAATATTTTCTCTTTTTTGGACTATTCTCTGTAAACCCTAGAGATGGTTGTGTGTGAAAAATCCCAGTAGATCAGCAGTTTTTGAAATACTTAGACCAGCCCGTCTGACACCAACAACCATGCCAAGTTCAAAGTCACTTAAATCCCCTTTCTTCCCCATTCTGATTCTTGGTTTGAACTTCACAAAGTCATCTTCACCATGTCTAGATGCCTAAATGCATTGAGTTGCTGCTATGTGATTGGCTGAATAGCAATTTGTGTTACCAAGCAACTGAACAGGTGTACCTAATACAGTGGCCGGTCAGTGTACATCAATCAAGGCTTGGCAATGACAGCAGGGAGCTAATGTGGTGTACTGAGCCCTGTAGAAAGCACAGCATTCACAGCTGCAGGATCCATGTTCAGCTGTCTTCCCTCCCTGCTCAGGTACATGATATAACCCCCACCCTCCAGATACCAGGTATGACTGTGGCAGTGGATGAGGCAGCCAACCCTGCAGCACTGTGTATACCTCACTGATATGTATGAATGGGGAGTGCAGAGGTCAGCAGCAGTGCTCACCTCCAGTGATGAGGAAGTAGGAGACCACCACCACGGCGTACACCGTCATAGCTGAGGGCATATGGAGCCAGGACGGCTTCTTCAGCTTCAGGTTGGGACATTCCAGCACTGTAAACGGGATTCGGTACAGAGTCTCCATCCTTCACCCCCTGCAAACAACACAGACACGTCACACACACGATCACAGAGAACACCCCCTCCCCCCTGTCACCACTAATACCTACCACTGAGTACCGGGATAGGAGGGGAGGGCAGCGCTGGCCTGACGTGGCGGAGCAGCCAGAGAGGGGCGGAACACACAGCGGAAGTGATCAGACGGGGTAGAGCGGGCGGAACACACAGCGGAAGTCGTCAGAGAAAGTAGACGAGGAAGAGCTGAGTGTTGGAAGAGGAGTGAGAGATGAGGAGAATGTCATCACTAAATTCCGGCTGTATAACTCCCATACATTCACGGTGCTGATAGTAACATGGGAGGCACGTCAAGCACACAAGTCTATGTTCACACCTAAGCGTTTTCCAGAAAAACACAGCACTCCATTTAACATGATTTTGTATGAGACAGATTCACATGTCTGCGTTTTCACCCAATGTGGTTTTTTTTTGGAAAGGGTCAGCCTGGGTTCACATTGATGCAGTACAGAATTCACACTGGTTTCTGTGTGATGGCCGTACCCTGTTCATACGAACCACTGCTGGTGTGTATTTTAACCGCTGCCCGCCATGCAAGGAAATGATGGGCGGGCAGCGGCTCTCGTTCTGGGAGGACGTCATATGACAAACTACGCATGCGCACCGATCTGTGGTGCGCTGTGTCCCTGGGACACACAGTGGATCACTGATCACAGTAATGAGCCGATGACACAGGCTCTGTCATGTGATCAGCTGTGTCCAATCACAGGAAATGCTGATTATCCACAGTCCTCTCCTCATGCAGACAGCTCATGAGGAGAGCCAATAATCAGCATTCCTCAGAGGGGACATCTAAACTGATCATCAGGGCAGCCCTGTCAGTGCCTACCAGTGCACATAAATGCCACATATCAGTGCCCATCAGAGCTGCCTTTCAGTGCCAGTCAGTGCTGCCAATCAGTGCCAAATATCAGTGCTGCCTTTCAATGCCCATCAATGCCGCCTATCAGTGCCCATCATTGTAGCCTTATTAGCGCACATCAGGGAAACATAAAAACTACTTATTTACAAAATTTTATAACAAGCTACAAAAAAACTGGGGGGGGGGGGGGGGGGGGTTGTTCACAATTTCAGCCTTTTTTTAGTTTGTTTAGCAAAAAAATAAAAAACCCAGAGGTGATTAAATACTACCAAAAGAAAACTGTCTAAAAAAAAAAAAAAGATAACAATTTTGTTTGGGTGCAGTGTTGCATGACCGCACAATTGTCATTCAAAGTGCAACAGCTTTGGAAGCTGAAAATTGGGCTGGGCAGGAAGGAGGTAAAAGTACCCGGTAGGCAAGTGGTTAAGTTAACAACACCCCGAAATCAGTTTTCAAACTGCGTAGCAATGTGCAGAATCAGATCGCATCAAAAAGGGTCCTGCACTTTTTTGGTGCAGATGTGGTGCAATTTGAGCCATACAAAATGTATGGCTCAAATTGCACCGCACAGGATTCCTGTGCGAATCACGTGTGATGTGCAGCACCGCATCAGGGTGCACACGGGCTTAGGGACCTTTTTAAAAATGTTGCGTTTTTGTTTCTATAGACTTCAATGGACAAGCTGCAGAAAAGCATGTAGTGCGTTTTTGATGCGTTTTTCGTTTTATTCTGCCCAGCCAGAAATTGGAAAAAAAACCGCAAGCTGTGTCAAAAACGCATGTGCAGGGGGGCGTGTCCAAGATGGCGACCAGAGCAGCCGCATAATCCAGAGCTCCGTCGCCTCTTCTGCTAATCCGCTGCCATCCTGGCGACAGAGGATTAATCATAGTAATCGGAGGTCCCGTTACCTCTGCCTACTACCAGAGGAGGGGAGCTGAGTGGCTCCGGCCCCTCTCCAGAGCACCACGATCCCACGGCCTACTGCAGCTTAGTGCAGCCAATGGACTTTCCTGCCATCGGAGCCGCCCAAAGCACCGCCGCTCCGCCTCCAGACCTTGCGTGGCGTGCTGGCAGTTGGGGGAGGCTCTCGGAGGTGGTTCCCCAATTGACTGCAGTGGGCTGGGGCCTACTCATACAGAGCCCAGGAGCTCCTACCTGAGGTGGTGCAGCCCCCACAGGGCCCAGGGTCTTCTCTAAGCCGTGACAGCCAGACCCAGGACATATTACAACTGGCAAGCACCTGGGGGGTGAGAGTCCGGGTGTTCCATGTTCCACAACCCCCCCCCCCTCATAGGACTCTGGCACTGAGGTCTGGGTGGTGATGGCCCCTGCATCTCTTCTGGTACTGCGACGGAGGCTGCTTCTCTTCTGAGGCCTGTACCTAAGCTGATTAGGCCTTCCATTCTTATATGGTTTATCAAATATAATTGAGGCCTACACTATGTACACTAACCTGGCCGCTAAATTCCAGTCGGAGCTTCATAAAAGTACAAACGTCTTTTCTCAGGAAATAGCTGCGCGGGGTTCTAGAACAGATCGCTTGGAAACAAAACATGACGAGCTCAGCTTGGCCTATGGTGAGCTCTCCAGAGATCATGACCATCTACAAACGGCCTTTACAAAGCTGCAGGCGCAGGTCGAGGATCTTGATAATCATAATCATAGGAACAATCTACTCATTCGGGGAGTCCCAGAGACGGTAACAGATCTTTCACAGGCTACAATCAAATTGTTCAAATCCCTCCTTCAGGACCACGACACTAGATCCTTTGCATGCGATCGGATACATAGAGCTCTGCATCCAAAGCCTCCTAATGATAAACCCACCTTGTGACATTGTTCTCTGTATGAAAGATTTACTTATAAAAGAAGATATACTCAGAGCTGCTTGCAACACCCCTGTGATCTCCTTTGAAGGCTCAACTCTGCAAATTTTCCCTGATGTCTCTCCGGCCACATTGGAGAAACGCTGGAAAATGCGGGAAATCACATCTGCTCTTTTCTCGGCCCAAATTAGTTACAAATGGGGTTTTCCCTTTAAGCTGATAGTTCCACACAATGGCAGCACATATACAGCCACAACTCTTCTGGCAAAGTTGGGTCTGGTGGACACTCCCTCACCTCAACGCCCACCTTCTACCCCTCGGATATCCCCTATTTGGAACACTCCATCTCCACGACAGGAAAGAAGTAGAGTCAGACAAGAACCGGGATGAAAGGGTTTTGCTCTTTTGACTATTATTCATTATTTTGATAAGATGCTGAGACATGTGGAAGACTCATCATAATTATATATGTCTGTTAATTTTGTCTTATCCCTTAGCTGTTAGGATGTGCAAAAATTTTGAATGGGCTCTCAGACCCTTAACTCACAGCCTGCATGCAGATCCTATAGGACTCCTTGATGCGTAACCCCACCCTGTTGCCGAGCATGGCCACAGAAGTCACTGCCCTGATATGGAGTGGCCGCTCTGCATCCCATGTTTTGCGGCGACGGGGTTTGTGACCAGTTGACCCTTTAATATTTTCTCTGTCTTTTCAGTTGAGGCAGCTAGCCTACCTGATCCATGGTTTGTTATGATTTCTTTAGCCATAGGGGTTCTTAGGACCCTACTACTGTTTTATGTTTCTGTTTTTTTGATAATTATGGTACATGCTATTAGTCACATACAACTTTGTGGAATTCCTTGCTGCAAATTTGTGGCTGGGTTATTCCATAAAATGATGCTGACAGACTTCACCTTAAAAGTTATAGATCCGAATGCTCCACAGATAAGACCAACTTTTTTGATACAGCTCAGATGGATACGATAATGTTGTCTGACAATATTTCTCTTATGCTTAGCAATGGTAATTCATTGTATATCCCATAATGTCCAGGGTTTCAATTCTCCAAATAAGCGCAAAACTGTCTTCTTTCAATATAGATGCCTAGGGGCGAAGATTATCCATTTACAAGAAACCCATTTTGCAGCCACCAACCATCCCATGTTCTTTCACAGATCCTATAAGCAAGGGTTTTATACTTTACATTCCACGAAAAGCAGAGGTGTAGCGATTTTTTCTCCACAACTCGTTTCTATCTGATGTTCAACATGTAATTTATCATTATTAAAGGCATCCTTTCAGGTAGGGAACTCACAATAGCCAATGTCTATGCACCGAATTCGGCTCAAGCATCCTTTTTTTAAATTTCTTTAATGTGCTTGATAAGTTCCTGTCCCCCGATCTATTGTTGGGAGGTGATTTCAACTTGGTGGCTAACCCCCTCCTAGACAGAAGTTCATCCTCACCCTCCTCCCCGGTCTTTCTGAATTCCCTCATCAAAAAATGTGAAATATTTCAGCTGGAGGGCACACAATGTGGGAAAAGGGACTACTCATTTTACTCCCAGCCACATGACTCTTATGCTAGGCTGGATTTTTATCTATTGCTCCCAAATTTTGCTGGCCAATTCCATGAAGGTGGACATTGGTCCTTGGTCAGACCATAATATTGTGGCACTGTCTATCACCTTCATAGGTCTAGCACCTACACCCTACTCTTGGCAGTTGAATGACTCTATGCTTACTGATGTTAACTCCCGTCAACACATAGCTACTTCCATGTCCCTGTTACCTAAACCCTTAAAAGATCATCTTCTATCTCAAAACTATAGACCCATCTCGGTGATGAACAATGATTTTAAGATATTTAGCCGAGTTTTGGCAGATAGATTGGCCCCTATTATCTCCTCTTTGGTCTCACCTGACCAATCCGGATTTATCCCGGATAGACTTATCACAGACAATATATGCCTCACTATAAATGTTATTCAGGGTGCTAACCTGCACTCTAAAGAAGTGTTGTTGTTGAGCCTGGATATCAATAAGGTCTTTGATAGTGTTCTCTGGCCATATTTATTTTCACTGTTGCAGAGGATGGGCTTCAGTGACGAATTTCTGTCGGGTGTACATGCTCTGTATGCCTCCCCCCAAACAAGAATTAGACTCCCAGGCTGTAACACTGACTTTTTTTACACTGGGCAGAGGTACCCAGCAGGGCTGTCTGCTTTCACCCTTACTATTTGTGCTAGTTTTGGAACCCTT